TGACTACATAATATGTAAATATATAATATAGGCATTATTTGAAAGCTTAAGATATCATAATAGGTGATCACTACAGTTATTTTATTATGATTCCATTCTTATTATCAGTTTTGGGCATCGCATTAAACGTACCTACACATATTTATCCCAAGCCTCAGCTTAGTAAAGGCAGTCTGCGGTAACTCGTAGGCGAAGAGTAATAGGCATAGAGTATATTGTTACATATATAAAGTAATAGGTATGTTATATAGACTATTATTATTGTAAGTATACTATAATTTTATAATTATGATTTTAATGATACCCATTCATCTATGTCACTGCAACAAAAATATTTACTATCTAATACTTTTGTTTAATATCTATATACCAAAAATAGAGCAAAAAATTTTCAAAGCTATTGATAAATTCAAACAAAAAATGGCCAATTTAAACAACTATCCTTTGACAAAACTCTAATGAAATCTCTCAAAAAAATGTACCTATAAACAATTTCCTAGTAAAAATTATTGCAAGTGATTACTACCACATAGAGCTTATGATCATCATTCATTTTAAATCTAAGTCCAGGTACTTTACCAATTTGCGAAGTGTACCGGGAACGCGTCTGAATTACAAATTACATGTAATTATGCGGGTAAAATATCGACCGATAAACAAAACAATGGAACTCGACGACAATCGTTAAGTATATACAAGTACCGGATGATACTTCATTTAAGTACTCCAAGATCCAGGCCGTTAAATGTTAGTTTATAACTTACGGATTACCTGACGGAAGCAGATAAAACCTTTGGTACGTATAAAACACATCACGGTACAACTACGGTGAAAGTGTTTCGCCAGTGAAACCAGACACTGTACCGACGTGTAATAGAAAAATAATTTATAATGAATTATAAAGTTGGTAAGTTTTTTTTTTCAAATAATATCTTAGTTTTATAAGTGTCTTGATATTATGTGGTATTTGTCTGTATAATTTCAATGCAAGGAAATACGTTTTTCTCACATTAATTATCAGTTATTAGTTTTCCCTAACACTTTTTGCCTTTGATCTTGAATTATTGTCATTTTTATCATTTTTATAATAGAAATAGCATTCATTTAAAACTTAACCTACCTTGAAAAGGGAATCTTTTAAAAAATAATGATTCGAATAGGTAGGTGATCTTGTAAAATATTTCTATTAAATAGGTACTTTCTTTTTAAGCACCTTTTGCTATTTGAAAAGATTTTTAAGCCCTATCTTTATTGTTGCATATTATGTAGGTACGTCAATATTGCATTTGAAAAATAATGATCCACAGGAAAACTCTGACGTACCTAAACTTCGCAGTTAGTAATAGTGTGAATAATTATGTTTATACATAGTTTATACCCATCATCACTTAATAGATTGTAGGTACATACATGATACAATTTTATGTTTATCTATACAGATAAATAACGTTGAAGTGTCTGTTTGTAATGTCAAAATAACAGCTTTTTACTAAATGCATATGAAGCTATACCTATACGGTACTAATAAGAAGTAACACAATTTTTAAAATTTAAATCGAATTGGCTAATCTTCGAAACGGCTGGACTGATTTTGATGGGATTTTTACTGGCAGATAACTGATTTTATAAGGTGTAGCTTAGGCTACTTTTATTGTAAAACTAGTGACTCACCTTCGCTCCGCTCGGGTTCGTCCCTACTTACGTTTTAACATTTAGTATAGATTTCTCAGAGATGAGGTATTTTCCCGCAATAAAAAGTATCCTATATTGTTGACCCGGATAACCAGCTATCATCATACCAAATTTCATCAAAATCTATCTAGTGGTTTTCCCGTGATGCGGTAACAGACAGACAGACAAAAATTCTAAAAACTATAGATTCGGCCTCTGTATTGATAATAAAGTATACATATTTCAATAAGATTTTCCAAATAATATGTAATGTACAGATTCGGCTTAGTTACAAGTTTATTATATGTATAGACAAGAATTCGGGTTCCGTTAAAAAAAATAAAACGTACCCGAGCGCAGCGAGGGCATGTCGCTAGTAAAAAATAAAGTTATTATTATAATAGATATTGCCAAGGTTGTAGGTATGTATCGCTTGTAAGTTGATGTGAACATAAATTACAATTTAAACTTAATTGCAAAATGCTAAAGTGGAATAACTAACTAGTAAGTAGTCCACGTAGAAATCTACCTCAGAATACAGACAGTTTTGTATACTGAGTTATCTACGTATGAAAATTAATTTTGCGTCTGAATTTGAATTAGATCGTTTCTTCAAAACTATACTTAATAAAAAACCTACCTATTCTCTAACTTCTATCGTAATATATAGTATATAGGAGTTTTATAATTTTTATTGTAAACATTTTCGAGTCAACATATTTGTCAATTGTTTATCTAAACTAAGTTTTTTAAGCAAATAATACGAGTAATAATAACATCACACATTTAAATAGAAAATACAAGGAATAACAAGAACTATCCATACTTACTATATTAAATATTTACTTTAATATTATAAATGTGAAGGTGTGTTTGTTTGTTTGTTTGTCCTTCTTTCACGACGACAAAGAGTGACGGATTGGTGTGATTTTTTTTAGAGATAGAGGGTTGGAGATTGACTGAAGATTATCTCATTCCCACGGGAGAATCCGTATTATTAATATTATGTATAAATGTGGAAGTTTGTGAGTATGGATGTTTGTTACTCTTTCACACCAAAACTTCTAAACGGATCTGGATGAAATTTGGCACAGAGATAGATTATATGTTGGAATAATACATAGGCTACTTTTTCCCTTTTTCCCGGAAAAATATACGATTCCCGTGGGTAGGTTTGTTTTTGTTTTCCGTTATAGTGCAACCCATAACAACTCATCTATACGTATAATAAAATTCTAACTGAGTTGGATCTGTACATTAAATATTTTTTGGAAAGTCTTATTGAAATAGTCATTAATATCGACACAGAAGCCGAATCTATAGTTTTAAAATTTTTGTCTGTCTGTCTATGACCGCATCACGAGAAAACCACTGGACAGATTTTGATGAAATTTGGTGTGATGGTAGTTGGTTATCCGGGTTCTCCTAGGCGATTCCGGCTATGGCGGTCAATCTCATTGAGATTAGCCAACTGCGCAGAAGATATTATAGTGCTCAAGTCTACGCGCAGACACAAGTGCACTCTCTATTCCTATCACTCTCATACTCCGGTGGGACGACCACTCGACACGACCAGTGAGAGTTAAGGCGCAGGACCGACGGCTTTACGTGCTCTTCGAGGCACGGGGGTGAAACACCGCCAACTTCCCAACTCCGGGCTGTTACTGAGACTTACTATACAGAAAGACCTTGGCCCAACCCGGGACTCGAACCCAGGACCTCCGGGTGTGCAGCCGTACATGCTAGCCACTACACCACCGAGGCAGTTATATTATAAATCATTGTAAAAATGTATGAACTTTAATTTCAGTATCACTATTGGTGTTTATGGCGGTGTCATGTCTCTGCGCGCCTCAGCCGAAAGCCTCGCGGACCAATTGCCCTTGCCCTAAAATATACATGCCATTATGTGCGTCAAACGGTCGCACATACAATAATATATGCGAATTCAAGTGCGATGCAAAACATTATAAGGAACACTTAGGCATTGAACTCTCTGTATTATTCAATGAACGTTGTGAAACACGACTGTCATAATATTAGGTAAGCACTCACATATGATACTTAACATAATACTTAGATACTATAAAACAAATTTCGTGGCAATCTTAATACTTATTAGTTGTATTGATTACAATCAATTTGAACTCACGCTAAAAATGTAAAATAGATAAGGCGTGAAAAACAGTGTTTTCCTTGACACATGAAAGATTTAAATCTATACATTAATAAAATTCTGAGTCCAATCTGTACATTAATTATTTTTTTGGAAAATCTTATTGAAATAGTCATTATTATCGATACAGAGGCCGAATATATATAGTTTTTAGAATTTTTGTCTGTCTGTCTGTGACTGCATCACGAGAAAACTACTGGACAGATTTAAATGAAATTTGGTATGATGATAGCTAGTTATCCGGGTCAACATATTGGATACTTTTTACGGTGGGGAAAATAACTCATCTCTGAGAAATCTATACTAAACGCTAAAACGTAACTACGGACCAACCCGAACGGAGCGAGGGTGAGTTACGAGTATTTATATAAGACATAATATTCTGTGTATCATCTTACACAGCGCGACACTGACTTGACTTTTATTTTCTATTCTCTTTTTTATATTTTTAATAATTAAAATAATTAATTAAAATATTTGGGTAAAATAAATAAATTATAATTATATTATTGATTATATTTACTTGATTTTCAGATTAGTGCCTACATGTCTGTGTTGGCTACTGTATATTGAAAAGGCAGATGGAAACTTTCAATTAGTCTTAAAAAAATTTAACTGGTACTCAATATGAAAAATTGTAAAACCCATCTAATAAAAACGTAAATTATTTAATGAAATAAAATAGTGCATATGCTTTTGCTTGAAATAAAAAATATTTAAATTATAATAAACAACTTGTTTTAAGAATAATATCAAATATTTATTTATTAAAATAAAAAAGACTTTAGTATATGTTATTAGACAATAAAGAACAATATGTTTAAAAAGTACATCTAAAAAAAACAATTCATGTAATAAAATAAATATAATTTATATATACAATAAGTCAATTTATGAATGAGTGTAAATAAAATTGTTAAAATTATTTTTTTATATTCCAAACATCATCTTAACACCACATCCTACAATGCCTTTTGGTGAATATACCCTATCTATTGATATTATTATTTACTGACAAAAACCCATCACCTATATAACTCAAATAGTAATAAGCCACACCTTATTAATTATAAACCTTACCTACCTATGTAAACCTTAATAATGATATATATATATGTATATATATATATATATATATATATATAAGTTATCATAATTTTGATGGCATTAATTCTTCTAGAGTGAATCTTTTTCTAGTAAAATTAACTTTGTATAAATCACTTGGAAGGAAGCACTGTAAAAAAAGATGAGTGATGAGTCCAGTGATACCCCAAATGTTATGTTTTTCATGGATAAAGACTGGTGTTAAAAACCCTTCATATTTTAAATGAGCGTGCTTTGTTCTATCACAGAAATCTGCCATTGGTATTGAAAATACTTCTTCAACTTCATAAATATTTACATTTAAATTGTCTAAATTGAGATCTTTTATGACACCAACAACTGGAGTGATTATTATGTTTTTATCGCGTCCTTGCACTGGATACATTTCACACCAAACATCCACAGATTTAGGAAAAACACCAATTTCTTCCTCTGTTTCTCTTAAGGCTGCATCGACAACTCCTTCATGTTCCTCTAGCTTTCCTCCTGGAAATGATACCTGGCCACTATGACTTTTTAAGTTCGAAGATCTTAAAGTGAATAATAAATGTAACTCTCCATTTTTTACAAAGAGAGGTATTAACACAGCAGCTTTGTTTTGGGGTGTAACGTCAGTTCGAGCAAATGCGGGCAATTCTTTTATGCGCGATATACACTTATCTTTCGCATCTTTTGAAAGTAAAACTTGAGGGGATAACGACATATTACGGAACAATCCAAACACAGATCCAATTATTCACTAAATGTAACTATGATTTAATAATAGCAAAAACTAGATGTTCTACGTTTTTCATATATTATCATTAATTTTATTTAAAATATAATAGACTTGATCTTGAAGTTTGAAAATTGTAAAATGAAAGTTATTAGTTATTGCCAAACAGACTACAAAAACATACTACAAAAGTCAAAAATCACTAAACGTCAAAATCAGCTGCAACTTGCAAGTAGTTGTCAGAATTTATCGTGCGTCATAATAAATAGGTTGCAACATACGAGACTAGCAGTCCATTGATTTTGTTTGATCTCATCGTGTGCTCTTAGTAGTTCCGCTCAGGAAAGCCTTGCCAGGTAAGCTTTGGCACCGGATTTCATAGTTATTTAACAACTTATGTTTATTTAAAGTGCTTAAGGAATGGGTAAGATTTCTCTACAGGAGGGTGCCACACGTATGGCCTATTTACATTCAGTCTGAGGTTAAGCAATTTATTGTGATAATAACTCAATGTATTGTACCTCGAAGTGAGACCAACGGTTGCGCAGACATTCTTCAAATACTTAATTGGCCATATTCTATGTAAGTCAAAAGTTTAATTTGCCAAGTTCGCGATTTGTCAAATCAGTTATTCGTCAAAACCTAAATTCGTCAAATACGTGATTAGTCAAGTTATTGTACAATCTCGCACATGTTTTATATATATGTATATAATATACATTAGTAACTAACTGCCTCGGTGGTACTGTGGCTAACATGTACGGCTGCACACCCGGGGGTCCCGGGTTCGAGTCCCGGATGGGCCCAAGTTTAGTTATTGAATCGTTCTGTATAGTAAGCCTCAGTAACAGCCCGGCGTTGGGAAGTTTGCGGTGTTTCAGCCCCGTGCCTCGGAGAGCACATAAAGCCGTCGGTCCTGTGCCTTAACTCTCACCGGTCGTGTCGAGCAGTCGTCCCACCGGAGTATGAGAGTAACATCGTACGCTTGTGCATCTCCTGCGCAGATGGCTAGTCTCAATGAGATTGGCTGCCGTGGCCGGAATCGGTCAGGAGGTTTGGAGGGAGTTCACTAATGATAATAATATAATAATTCAAACACAATAACAAAATAATATTATACGTCAAGCTGCAAACGGTACAAGAGGTGAAATGTGGAAAGTGCAGGGCAGAGAAATAACACGTAAAGGACGCGCTGCGACTCAGGCCGTACCTCTCCGTACACTATGTGTGTACAATCACACAAATTCAAAGCTGAATTATGGCGCGAGGACTGTAGTTCACATGATGTGTAGCATCTCTATAGACTCATAGAGTTTTTGGATACGTGTCTAACAGTCTAAGTGACAATTTTATATATGTAGCAATATACTCTATGGTGACAATTCACAATTGACTTATGACATTGACAATGAAAAGTTTATCAAGAACATTTTTGCAAATTAAGTTTATACGTATATTAGTGATAATTTTACATAATAATGACATAATTATTAAAACAGTGCTATATTTTTAAGTGAATATGAATACGACAAGTCTTACCTTTCAGGGTATATTTACTCTTGCATCGCGGGAACGATGTATAACAAATTTAAAGAAATTTCGAATGCCTTTAATGAATAAAAATTTAAAAATGCCTACAGCTACTGCTGCTGTTTTAGTGCCTCTATGTCAAGTAAATAATATCCCATCTTTGTTGTATACTGTAAGATCGATGCAGTTAAAGAGTCACAGCGGTCAAATATCTTTTCCCGGGGGGAAAACTGATAAAGATGAGACGCCGATTGATACTGCCTTAAGAGAAACCTACGAAGAAATAGGCCTATCACGGGAAAAGATAGAAGTTTGGGGATGTACACAGGCTTTACCAGGTAGGAATTTTAAGATTATGATTACTCCAGTTGTTGGCAGTATACCAGATTTAAAAGAAGAAGACTTATGTATAAATAAAAATGAAGTTGATTCTGTATTTACAGCGCCTCTTGAAAGTTTATGTGATCCAAAAAACCAGTTTTACACCCAATACAAAAATGGCTATATATTACCAGTTTTTGTGATTAATGAATTTAAGATTTGGGGAATAACAGCATATATTACACATATAGTACTGAGCTGTCTTCTTCCTCAGGATATTTACAAAAATAATTGGATGCAGAACAAAATTCCAAAAAAACTGACAAATGAAAGTGCTTAAATATTATTTCAAAATTGTTTTTTTTTTGTATATATTGTTATGGTTATTTATTTAAATAAAATTAAAATCTTTATTTTGTTGTTATATTTAAATATTTATTGAAAAGTACAAAACCTACATATCACAAGCAAAACTTTTGACTTATTGTATAAAGCTTTTAGCATACATTACAAGGCAATATCAGTATGAATAGTAAACTTTAAAAATTGTATGTTTAAAAATAAATAAAAGTATTAATTAAAACTAATTGTAAATGATATTGTAAAAATTAAAATCATAATTTTGTAAAACCAAAATACAAAGGAAACAAAAGGAAAAGCGTAATAAAAGACAAATAAAAAAATAATAATATTAATCCAGGTTTATTCCTTAACATTTACATTAAAATCTAGTATTAATATTTTATACATTGTCCAATCGACATGTTGATGTCTCTCGCCTTTGTCTATTGTGTACTATAAATAAATAATTCACAAAACAATTGTATAAGGGCCGCTCCACACTATAGTGCTGATCAAGGTTTGCTCTCAGTCCGATATTGGTCTGGTAAAGTATTGTTATACAAGCAACAACGAGTGCATTCACACTATCAATAAGAGTCATGTTCCTGTTGAATAACACTCCAGCAACATTTCTTGTATAAAAAAACTTTACCAGACTGAGAACGGACTGTGATTGTGTGATACTGTAGTATGGTTTGGCCTTAACAATGTAAAATATAAAACTATTGTCAATCAGGGTTGAAAGGTGGTTTAATTTAAAGCATAACTTTATGCTATGAGGAAGTCATCGGCGTCTTAAAACTTGAACATATTAAACAATGATTTTATACTAACAGTATTTTTATTTTATTTCTTAGGATATTTTCAAAATGAAATTAGGTTATTTTAAGTATTGTATTCAACCCTTTTTACGTCCCACTTGTAGGCACGGGCCTCCCTTCAATACTAGGGGGATCAGGCTATGTCTACCACGCTGGTCAAGTGCGAGGCGGACTGCACAAGTCTTTCGAAAACTTGCTAGGTTCTCTAAGATATGCAGGTTCCCTCATGATGTTTTTCTTCACCGTAAAACAGGTGTCAATCATGTCGGAAATGATTCGGACATGGAAATAACAGAGGTGCGAGACCCGGGATTGGAATCCCTTCACTCAGTTTCCCAAGGGAATGTGTTACCACTGGGTTACCACTGCCTTAATTTTAAGTATTAGTCGTTCATATTTATATTGCGATATATAATTGCAACATAACTTGTCTGACTTAAAATAGTTAATGAATGAATCCTGTTTAACTTGCATAAGCTCAATTAAATCATAATATTAGTATAAAACATGTTTAAATGTAGTTCAACATTGAATTTATGTATAAAAGATAAGTACTTAATCAGTACCTTCAAAAAAGGTAACTTTGAGGAAGGCAAGAGCATTCAATATGCTTTATAATAAATATAAGTAAATTGTTGCAAATACCAAACCATGTACAGGCAGAGGTGTTTAAAATGGCCGAAAAATTCTTATCTAAACCTAAATTATGGGTCAAACTAAAAAAAAATACTGTAAAACCAATCACTTAAATAAGTATACTTTGTGAATATAATACAAAAATGTCAAATGTTTATTCGTTGTGTTTGAACACATACTAAAACTAACAAAATATAAATTAATAATAAAAAATAAATCTCTTATGTATATAAAAGATAGTCATAGGATATGAAATCTAACAGTAACCTCTGCCAATAGAATATTGGTAAATGATTTTTAAGTAAATCCAATCAAAATGGCCACATTTGCCTCTCGCTAGAAAACCATAGAGTACAGAAACATGAAATCAACTTGCAATAACCAGAGACAATTTAACAGCCGTTCATAATAATCAACAAATTTTGTTTGCACCAAACCATTCAATCTTTTAGATTTACTGTATTATCGTCATCTTATATAATAAAAATTACAAAAATATTTTGCCATAGGGCCAGTTGGCGATATAAAATCGATGGATATATAGAATCAATTTAAGTAAATAAATTAATTATTTGACCACCTGTTCTGAAATGCTTATTTGTATAGAAATATCGCCATCAAAAGTTACATCGCTAAGCAGGCCGGACCCGGCAGTGTACGGACCCTAAGTATTATCTATTGGCAAATAACAATGAAACAGCAGAGCCTAATGTAGTTTACTGTTTGGAGTTGCTGAGGTCGTCCACGTCCACGGGGATAGATGTCGTGAACGTTGGCGTCTCGAGTTCTTCGTGTTTCTTCATCTTCAGTGCCTGGAATATTACAATAATATACATTACAATTAGTAATATAAAGTAGTTATACATCCAATTAACCAATTTATATATTAATAAACATATAATTTTGCTAATATAATATTATTTTCAATTATGTAAATAACATCTCATTTCCTTAATCAAAGTATTATTTTATAGCAATAACTGTATTATTATGTACAATGTAATTTAACAATTATTTTGCTACAGGCATCTCTATTATTTAATTACATAAATACACTTATCACAAATTAAAAAAAAAACTTTAAAACATTAAGTAAATTTAGTGTTAAAATAAAATGTACTTTTTGAAATACCTAGTATAAATAGCACGTTAATAAATAATATTATGTTATCACAAAAAAACCACAACCCTCTCGAAGTATGAAGAAAACATCACAGAGGCGGTGAATTAATCTGTCAATAAGCAATGTTTCATGAAATGGCAAAATCGATTTCATCGGACAGGTAACATTTTCGAAAACCAGAGGTTTTATACAATAATGTTTGCCAGATATGTTTAATGCAGGTTATATAATGCAAGGCGAAAGGAAAATATTTTTATTAGCTTGCAGTGTAGCCAACTTTATCATTAAAATTTGAAGATATTTGTTTTTTTTTTTAAATATCTCACAAAAAAAAATACTATGGAAAATAAACACAACACATGTTTCGCTCTTATCCAACCCAAAACAATGTAAGACAGCTTATAAAATTAATTTATTATAGATTTTTAACAAAAAGACATTTTTACAAATGAAGTAATAAATCACTAATATATTTTATTTAATAGTATACATATATGACCTTTAATTTCCCGCCTACAAATACAATAAAAAATCAAGCCTTTTTAAACATTTGTATTTTACCATTTTTTTATTGAAAAAAAAAAACTCCGAATGTTGGCTACACTGTTAGTATGTATGTACACAAACGTATCGCGACGTCACAACCACGCAACGTACCGTGGGTTCCTCTTTGCGCGGTCGCGTCAGCGTCGGCGACATGAGCAAACCTTTTGTCGATAACTGTAGTGAGGAATAGAAAATAGGAGAAACAGGTAGTAGGTACAGATCTAGCCTAGCTATACAATAATACTATATACATAATGTGGAATTAAAGCTACATATATAACAAAAATAAGAGGTTGTCTATGCTCGTATATAAAAAAATAAAATATAGATTTAAAAGTATGACAGGTAAATAGCAAAAAGTTTCAAATAAAAAGTAAAATAGAATAAAAATAGATAGTCAAGCTTTACGATGGGGACAAGTACATTGAGAAAACTTAAATAACATATACAAATAATAATTTAAATTGTTTAATAATTTTTCATTAACTTAAATACTTCTGCTAGCTCTACATAATATAACCTGTTCAAAATTATATGAAATAAAATTCAATTACAGCTTTAACATTACTTTAAGTAACATAAATTAGCTTTATTCATAGACATAGAGAATGGATTGAGCAATGCTCTCGTGAAATTGACCACTCTTTAGAAAGAGAGAAAGCGATCGTGCGGCCTATACCTGGCTTTTATTTCTATTTGAATTTATAAATGAAATGTAAAAAATATATAATATTATGATGAAATATAAAATGGTTATAAATATATTTCTTCATTAATCGTATTTCAATAAATACGGAAGACTTCTGGCCGCACATATTTTATCTATCGCGCCTTTCCTCCATTTTTAGCTGACGGCTGGCAAAGAAACACTCAATCTACTCTACGTCTATGACTTTACTAGAACTCCGAACAGTTTATATTCCAGGACAATTATTGCAAACTATAGCTATATTTATGTCCAACTATATATAGAGCAATATAAACTTTTGTCTGTATGTCTGTCTGTATGTATGTATATATTATATGTGTGTGTGTGTCTGTACGTACCTGCTGCAGCTTGTAGTGGTTGATGATGTCCTGGTCGGCGGGGCAGCTCTGCGCGAACGCGTCCAGCTGGTACATGTGGTGCATGTAGCGCCAGAGCGCGCGGTAACTCGTCTGCGTTACCATATATTTGTATTGTATTATATCATTTTTTTATTTTAATTTATATATCAAGGGTCTAATAACATAGGCGACAAAGTCCAGTTAAAGTCATTTACAAACAACTAATAACATTAAAAATATATTACATATTTACTGTTATATGTATGAATTTGATACCTTTTATTTTAAGCTGTATTTTAATGTTAAAACAAGTCGGTTAACTAAGAAACTTAAATAACGCGATGGACTTAATCGATTAATCGACGTTTGACATTATATGGTACTTTGCCGCCTTTGTTATTAGACCCCTACTATATTATCAGTTAAATGTATCAGTGATAAGTTCTCTACTACAAAAATTCATATTTTATAATATACATTTAGCCCTTTTAATGTCCCGCTTCTGAGCGCGAGCCTTCCTCCAATGCTAGGAGGATCAGGATATAGTCCAGTCCTTCACCGTAAGACAAGTGGTAATCATGTTGGAAATGAAACGCACATGAAAATATCAGACGTGCGAGACCCGGGATTTGAACCCGCTTTTGTCACAGTTTTGCAACTTCTTATACATCCATTATTCTATAATACTTTCTTAGATTTACGCGAAGATTTGACATTTTTAAATAAACTGTATACATACCGGTATTTCAAAGTCCACGAAGTATTTCCCGGCGACGCGGATGTGCTGCAGGCGCGGCATCAACTCGCAGTCGAAGCAGCACATTGTATCCCCTGTCAGGAACCTGTTAACAATATTCACAATATCCATACTTAATAATATTATAAATGTGAAAGTATATCAGTCTGTCTGTCATTGGACCAATTTGGATGAATTTTTGGTATAGAGATAGATGGGACCTTTGAGACGGGCATAGGTTATTTTAAGTCCTATGTTTAGAAAATAAAGTTAACAATGAACGATCAAAAAAGTAAAAAAATACAATCAGCGCCAAAAAATGTCCTCACCGAATGAGCGCTCATTTGGACATTTGAGCGCGCTTTAATTTTTTTTTTTTTTCGTGAACACAATTTTAAGTATTGCATTTAAGGTTCAATTTACATTTTGTATATTTATTTCAACTAGAACAATTACCTAAACATTTTATTGATCGATGTTAAGAACAGAAAAAACCCAATCAATACTCACTAATTAAATAATTACAAACTCCATACCTGGTGCCTCGACGCTCGAGCAACGCGTCTATACGTTGTAGATGCGCACGCAACGAGGCCGACTTCTGCTCGTCCTTACGCACCAACACTAGCTTCAGCTTGGAGTACAAGTTCTCTATCAGTGAGGCCACTTCTTTGTCCTGGAAACATATAATATACTTATAATTATTAAGTAAAATATTTAGAAAAAATAATTTTAATAGAATTACATCATAAAAAGGCACGTACAATATGTCTGTGGTATATAAAACACTTAGTAAATTGGTGTTTTTCCAGTAGGTTATCATCCATTTACGACAATGCCTAGTACCATAAATATTCACGAGATGGCACTATGTGACATTGTCAACATGATAGAAGAAGGCTCTAATAAATAATTAGTTATGAAAAAATGTTATATTTTTTTGAGAAACGTTGCATTTTTTGTAGAAAAAACATTAATATAGATTAGAAAATAAAGTAGAAATACAAAATTTGATCCAAATTGTTAGAGCCATTTTCGAACTTTTGTATAAATAACATACATTTATACAAGAATTGCTCTTTGACAAAATTATATTAAATCAATTTTAAAACAATGTTAAGAGTAAATTGTCTATAATTAATTACCTACTATTAATAAAAAATAGTACATACTAAGTGGAATTAAAATATGGCAGAATTGAGGAAAAATAATTAATAAAGTCCAATAAATTTTCAGATTATTCCACTGTACTGCTTCATATATGTACCTTTATATTGTAATAATAATTCCTTTTTAATAAAACCACTCTCCTGAAGCATAAAAGAATCATTAATATTTATTTGCATTTGAAGACATCGCGTAACCGAAATATCTTGTTCTTTTTTCAACGCGGTCAAAAATTGTAAGTATATGTATATTGCCGATAAGTCTAAAAAATACTTTATACTTATTTTTTTTTTATTTTAAGGCTATACTCAAGAAGATTTCCCGCTTACAAAACGCGTTACCACATACATATGTATCTATTTTTTGCAGAATTAAATAAGATATGATATTAGTTAACCATATGAAATACAAATTGATTTTGTTGCTTCATAAATACTTTTGATCGATATTAAATTATAGACGATACCAGTTACTATGAATCTTGCTTATTTTTCTTTTAACATCCAAATCTCCATTTTACAACGTAATAAAACATCCTACGCAAGAGAAGGCGCGTCTGCGTTCTACTGAACTAGTTCAAGTGACATAATGTTTGACAAACGATTAGAAATCCTTTTAAATGGTGACTGATATAAATATTATTCATAGAAATATACCAGAACTTTCTCAATTAAGTAATCCTTTTATAACAGTGTTAATATAATTCATATTAGCAGATAGTTGGTCAACCAAAGATTTAAATTTGCACATGTGGCATATTTTTTTTACCGTTTTATATATTAAATAAGAGCTATGATTATTATTAGTAAACATATTATGTAACGGTAAAACAATAATCAGAGCTAAGGGGAGAGTAATCTCCACATGAGAGGACTCCACCGGGGCTCAGAAACCCATTCAATTATTAAACCGGTTTTTGTCATTGAATCTAAACCGAAAGGCTTTTCGGTTTAAGGTTACGTTCTTAAACGAATATAGTTTCCATGATCGTAATAAACCGGTCAAAACGAGTTTTGTGCGTTTAGATTTGGCAAATCTTTGCTAATAGTGAATTGCGTAGTAGAAAGATACATGTAATATAAATCTACCTATTCTCTATGAATAACTATTAACCAATATTATTTCGGTTTACTAAGCCGTTCGTTTTCATTAACCGGTAAATTAACGAGCGATAAATTAACCATTTGGTACATTACCGAAATTAACCGTTTTTTTAAACAGATTACGAGCCTTGTCCTCCAAAATAAAAATTTATAGATGATGTTTATTAAATACTTTTTTGTAGTGGTTCCGTAAAAATGACTAAATAATCAAGAATTTATTTTATTCTTTGCAATATTATTAAGGGGCTCTTCATGAACGAATTAACCACTGGACCAGACATATAAGCGGACGTACCTTTAACGGTCATGTCAGTAACCAGGGAATTTTAGCCTAGGTCGTTTGTTTTTTGTGTCAGTCTCAAGCACTTGTCAAAAAAACATCTCCCAAAAATGACTAAATGTTCTGTTAAATGGTGTAAAAACTATAACGGCGGAAGCAGCACTATTTTTTTTTACTTGTAAATACATTATTTTATTACATTTATTGTTATTTATCACAATATTTAATTAAATGTAAAATAAAATGTCATATTATCCTACTATGTTAAATATAGTCGATATTTCTATGTATTGTTGACATCTGACAACCATTATAAACGGGTTGGATTATACCATTCAGAACAAATGACAAAACTGTCGAGTGAGTCTATTTGACATCGACTAGTGCTTGACAATGTCGAAAAATATATCGATATTTGACGAAATAACTGAACGAATTGTGTTATTTGTACAGTACAATAACATAAAATACTTTTATCACAGTATCCTACAATCTGATGACAATAAATTTACAAAAATATTTTCTAAATCAAATAAAAATATAAATGCAAAAATTATAATTAGTATGTGTACTTAATTTTTTATTTTATTTTATACCACATTTATATACTTTGGAATATTATTCTATTGTAATAATAATAAAGATCATTTTATTTCAACACATAAATTACACAAAATCAAACAATAATGTTTTAGCACTAAACTTCTGGGTTGGCGATTTATAATAAAACACTTTACCACTTGCACTAATTATTTTACTTTCACGATCCAACACTCACTTTTTCACAATTTGCAATCACTTTTTCTTTTTCCTAATTTCACAAATGTTTATTAATAACTGAGCAATATTAGGACAGTGTCACCTTTTTATAACTACCCGAGACAATCAATTGCCAATTAAAATAGTTCAATAACAGAATCAACAAAATCACTTTATTTAATTAAATTAGCTTAATATTTTTTTTAATCTTTACAAAATATTATATATTAATGGAATATACACCCGATATTCATTTGTTTATTAACATTATTATAGGCTAACAGAGTCCTGCCATCAATGCCATCGTATTTATATAAATCAAATTAAAAAATAAACACCCGATATTCATTTGTTTATTAACATTATTATAGGCTAACAGAGTCCTGCCATCAATGCCATCGTATTTATATAAATCAAATTAAAAAATAATTATTATTTAACACATTATTATTGCCTCTTTAATTCATTTATTTTAATTTATTATAATAAATACACATATTTTAAATTAAAAGATGTAAAATATGATGACTATGCTAACCAATGTCTAAAATGTCATTCATTGGTTCATCGATATATGTATTTTATCGATTACGTTCAAACACTAGAAATATTGTATTGTGTATCAGTGTTTATAATAATGTAATAAAATCTTTGTGTGCGTTATGCGTCACTTGGTTGAACTAGTTTTCATACATTTGTATTTTATGTCAGGTCCAGTCTTTAATTCGTCCATGGGGCTCTTCTTAACACCTATACCTCTAAATCCTGCCAGAGTTTAGACTTTAAACTATTACGTTTTTAGTTACAGACTTAATATTTGTATCATTTTGTTATGTATAACAAACCTGCACAAACAAATTGTGTCCACCGGGCACTGATTTCATAATATGCCGCTCAATCTTCTCATTCTCGAGTATGGCGAGACCATTGTCGATGAGGATCGGTGGATGCGTTGCTTCAAAGTTGGTGCGGAAGTCTGGTGGTGGTTTTTGCATGTCAACCGTTGTCACCTAAAATATTTAAATTTTTTTATTAATAAGTATGTATAATAATTTCTTAGATTTACGCGAATATTTCACATTTTAAATAAAACTATCTTTACGGATTATTTTGCGGACTTAAACTTCGGGAAACAAAAATCGAAGTAAATCCGCGAAATAATCCGAAAAAATAGTTTTATTTAAAAAGATAAGTATAATTTAGAATACCTACATACGTAGTAAGAACTTATACAATATTTATTTTATAAAAAAAAATCACGTTACATTTCGCGTCTAAAGATGCTGACAAAAAAAAACAAATAGGTCCCACATACTTCTTATTCCTATGTAGGTCATTAATTAAGTAAGCAAATTAATTACTTAAATAAAAAAAACATCTTACTTTTAAACTGATCGTCTTAAGCTCTGCCAGAAGGTAAAGGTCCATGAAGTACTCCTGACAGAATAGACACGCGCCCTTCCGCCTACCATCGATGGTCGAGGCCTGAAATTACAACAAAACGATAATTATATCTAATTGTATCTGAAATATAGAAAGTTCGCTAGTTATAACTAGCGACTCACTCTAGCTTTGCTCGGGTTCGTCCCTAAAAAAATTTATAACTTGACATAGGTAACTTTTTTATTTATGAACCGACTGAAATAAAACAATATTTCATTATTTTATTATATTTTATTTAAATAAATACTAAATGTTAAGTGAAGTGAATTTTTAGTCACATTAGTGAAAACCGCATCCAAATCAGTTAAATTGCGCAAACGCACAGACAAACATTCTAAAAATCATTGTTTTGGGTTCTATTCGTTTATTAAAGATCCCAAATAATAGTTTTTCTCAATTATCTTCCATGTACAGACAGCCATCGGTTACAATAATTTTAATGATGTGTATAGGTATATAAATATACTTACATACATGTACCTACTCTACTAACAATATTAAAATTAATATATAAAATTGTAAATAATGAGGTAAACAATGGCCGTGAGAATGCAGTGTATACTAAAGCAATAAATAATGACTCCGAAGAGAATAAATGAAGACGAATGTATATCTCAAACTGAAGAAACAACAATTTATACCTGCCAAGTATAAAACTCGATTTCTTTAAAATTTTCAGTTTTATTCCAGAAATAACAAAGATTAATAAAATCATCTTACAATTAATTTGACACTAGCTTTTGCCTGCAGCTACGCTCACGTAGTTTTTTTTAATAATAATAATAATAAATATGTTGAGACATTTATATACAGCACCATCTAGTTCCATGGTAAGCTACGAGGCTTGTGTTATGGATACCAGATAGTGATATATGCACTACACATATTTAAACTTTAAATACATATTATAAACATAAACACTCATGACGAGTACAAACATCCGTGCTCATCACACAAATGAATGCCCCCAGCGGGACTCGAACCCGCGACATCTGTCACAGCAAGTACAAACCGAGTCACTACAAACTGAGCCCAACGTGTCGTCAATTATACATAATTACTCCGTTCTTAAGGGTCTAAACGTGATGTTAGACCGCTTATAACTTTAATGAATAGCCAATAGGATGCAAAAAAGAATTTTCCAAATCTCATTAGTCGTTCGAACAAAAAAAACCCGCTATAAAGCTGATATATAAATGGCAGATAATATTATAAGTACATCTAAATGGCCGTCAAGAGCAAGGCTAGCACCGACTATAATTTAAGTAATTTATAATCGTCCTTAACATATAGTAAACATCAGACTTCGAGCGTATAATTAGTAAACAGGTAAATACTGCCACCCTAGAAGCGATACAGCGAGCGTAAGATAGAGCCTTTGCATATTCATGATACATTGTTACATGACACGACGCCCCGTGACCGACTGTAACGACTGGTATTACAGATTTGCTAAACACACGCAGACAATTGTTTTCATATTTACAAGTAACAAATGTGATTTTTCATAGAATTAAGTAATACCAATCTAGCTCACTTGATAGACGTTCTCGTGTCTTTATTTCGTTAAAGTTTTTGTGACGAAAAAATCCTATTATAAAATGAAACTTTTCCTGAATTTTCGAACCACCAATCCAAACTTTTTTGCTGGAAACCTCGTTCGGAATATTACAAACATTTAAAAAATAATTCAATTCAATTCAATCCTGATACTGATCTTTAACCAGAAGCACACAATGTATGGTGTAAGTAAATAAGGTAGTGCTCTAGACTTTAGCTTCAAGAGATACAAATTTGTTAATGACATAAAAAACAAAAGTTAGTTTTTTTACTGGTCCTCTTATAATTTTGATATATTATTATATATGAGATGAAAAAATCTTTTTTTTTAAACTAATCGAAAAGAATCGAAATACTTACCGCCAGTAATGAAAATATTATAAAAACATAATACTTTAAACTATAAACTTTAAAAAATAGCGCCGGTTTATGTAAGTGGTCACAGTGACTACGCGAAGGTATGTCATTTTGTAATCAATTATGTATGTGAATGATGTTGTCTTAAAGATAAAGATGTTTATGACAGACAGACACTTTTTGCTTTGTTCAATCCAATTCAATTATTTTGTTCAATGGCTCCTAAAAGTTTTTCAGAACATAAAAAAAAATAAAAAAAGACATTTAAAAAAAAAGAAAGGGCATGTTATAATTATACATCATTTACTATCTATTTTTATAACTTCATTTATACTTAGTACCAATATAATAAAGATTAATTTGATGAAAAAACTTACATTTCTCGTTACAATGAATTGTAATTAAAAGATTTTAATTAAAATCCAAAGAACGAGTTAGTGAGTAACTTTTACAATAAGTGTATAATCTATGACTTTTACTTTAAAGCACGGTGAAAGATCAGTGAGAGGAGCTTTTCTTATAAAGTCCATACAAAGTAAACACTGTTCGTGTTAGATAATAAATTAGTGTGTCTACAACTGGCCTTTATCTTTACGTCAGTCACTTTTTGTGGAGCAACATTTTTTCAAAAGAAATTCCTTAAAGCTATTTTCTGAACATTTATAATCTATACAGATAAAAATAAAATTGTAGTGTCTGTTTGTAATGTTAAAATAACAGCTAAATGCATAAATCATAATATGAAATTATATACGGTAGGTACTTATGAGAAAATTCACAATTTAAAAAAAATTATGTCTGTCTGTGTGGTACGGCTGATCTCCGAAACGACTGGACTGATTTTGATGGGACTTTCACTGGCAGATAGTTGATATTATAAGCAGTAACTTAGGTTACTTTATTTTAGAAAAAATAGAATCAGGGTTCCGTTTAAAAAAATAAAACGTACGAAGCGTAGGTAAGTCGCTAGTGTATTTAATAATATTGAATTCAGCAAAAACTATGAACCTGTCTGTAGAGTGTAGGTGTAGGCTAGCACCCGTAATGATACAAGTGTTCAAAGGGAGAAACTGAACTAACTCTCTATAATATTAATTAAGATCTAACATTGGATAATTCATAATACTTATTACAACTTTACTTTTTTTATTTATAAGTAGCTAGGTACGTTTTAATGATTAGTATAGAATAGAGACTATATACTGTTATATACATATTATATATTTTTTTCTAACATAAACTTGACGTATTGTTGTAGATTGTAGGTCCACCACTATTGAAAGTAATCCGAAGTAGTGATTCCCATACAAAATAACCAGTTCCGAACTTTTCGATTTTCCAGCTGTTCTTATGGGATTTTCCTACTTTTTTTATATTTAAACCATCTCTGATATACTTCCAACAAAACAAAAAAAGAATTATTCAAATCGGTTCAGCCGTTTTTGAGTTTTAACGAGACTGACGAACAGCAATTGATTTTTATATATATAGAAAACATTATTAGTTTTCAATTTTCGTGAATTACAACTAATCGCTTAAGTAGTTTATTTCACAAAGTGATCCAATTACTTTCGTAATTTCCAAATGGAATTAGTCATCAGTTCTTTATATTATGCTATACGTCAAATACCTAAACGAGTGCGGACTATATGTAAATATGTAAGCTTCATGACTCACTCGCCGGATTTCAGGTCAAAGGGCTCAATGTATGCGCTGATTAGAACTTTCTAGTACTTCAACAGACGTGTGAAATGAGAAAACACCGTTATGTTCAATATTCCCTGTAGGTACTCCGATCTTTTGAATTTATTTGGGTCAAGCTTTATTTATTTATAAGCTCTTAAATTTTTACGTTCATATTTTAAATAAATTTACAAAAAGCTGTGGTTTGTACCAAAGCTCTTAATTTACTTTAAATGCCATAATCTAAAAATATACAAAGCTGAGAACTGCAAGTCCAATTTGCACACCGAAAGTTCCGAATGATAACATTTTAAATTTATGTTATTTGTTAGATTAAAATTAAAATACAATATTTAAGTTATAATTTTAATTAAAAGTGTTTTTGGATGCGCTACCCCATAAGCTCAATATGTGTATTTTGTACGTTTTTTATCGCTCTATTGCACTAATTATACTTTTTGTAAAATGAATGCGACATAGAGACAATCGGAGATAACGTATATGTGTGTGTGTGTGTATATATATATATATATATATATATATATATATATATATATATATATATATGTAGGGGTACCGTTTTTAGAATTTTGTCGCTTAAAAATTTATGGACACATTTGAGACTGGCTGACTGTTTTGACTACTATGTAACATTAGTTCATGAAGTTCAACACTCACACGGCATGCTAATTTGTTTGGACCATATAAAATAATAATGAGCAATCTATCTTTCATCTTTGCGTTGAGGTAAAAGAAATAGAGAGAAAAGGAAAACATATTAACATGGATGGATATGTCTTATAACATGAATAACCAGCTATAATCATACCAAACTTCATCAAAAAATCTGTCCAGTGGTTTACTCGTGATGCGTCCCCAGATAGACAGATAAAAATTCAAAAAAGTATAGAGTTGGCCTCTGTATCGATAATAATGACAATTTGAATAAGATTTTCCAAAAAATATTTAATGTACAGATTCGACTCAGAATTTTATTATATGTATAGACTAGCGGACCCGACAGACGTTGTCCTGTCTACACGTCTTTAATTTGAAAATTTCAAACTTTTTTTAATAAGCTAAAACATTCTGGACCATTTTGATGAAAATTATTATTCAAATTGTGAATCTAAACCATTCCCAGATCCCCTTGAACACACACAAAAAATTTCATCAAAATCGGTCCAGTCGTTTGAGAGAAGTTCAGTGACATACACACTCACAGAAGAATTATATATATAAAGATATAGATTACATATTGAAGGAAACAAAGAAACGATGATTAGCGATAGATATGTACATAGGTGTTCGTGTATGACTACAAATATAACAAATCCAGCATTATAAGATTAATGAAGCACAAACGATTAACCCACATCGGTACGTGCGGATTTTCTCAAAACTCACATTACATTAAGCAAAAGGAAGTAGGTTTTATGGAA